CAAACAAACCTCAAATCCCAAATATTCGTAAGAGGAAAACATTCCAGCCAACCGACATGTATACAGATTCTTTTTAAATCCTTAAGGACTTTGTGTCTTGTTTTGGGAATGCGTAACTACTGATGAAAACAAATTCCTCTAAAAGCAAGGTATTTCTAAATCCAGGTTTGTAAGTATTTCCTGAGCCACAATTTGCTGTGCACAGCCAGAAGCTTTTCCAAACTTAATTTTATGTTGTGAACCACAGTGACAATCTTCAAACAATCCCCAATTCACCGAAGTGTTTGGATGTAAACATACCATCTAAATATAAATTAAGAATTACTACTGTAAAAATGACTTCATTCAGCTATCAGTGTTTCTGCATTTTCAATATTACAGTGGAAATAGTAAGTTACTGGTTGTCATTGCCTAGTAGTGACTTATTTCTTCCAGTCTCACTTACTGGAGTTGCAGAAACTTAGCTGCTTTCTTTTCCTAAAATTGAAGTATTTTTTGAGCTAACAATGATACATTGTCTTTTCTGCACTCCCACCACCTAATGAATTAGGTCTTGTTGAAGTTCATAAATGATGATGCTGAGCTTGCTGTGCTTTCTCGTTGCTGCACTGAAACCTAAGGAACACCCATACAGTATCTGGCAGAGCAGGAAGGAATGTCCTGTGCAATGCCTAAGAGTAATATCTCTGCTGATTTGCCAGGACTCCCAGTGCTGCTGGTCATTAATCTTTCTCAGCCAAAAACAGATGGGGCTATTAGGCAGGCTGGAGTAATGGGGGAAACTGGCACGATACAGAATGAAATGCATTATCTTCCGGATAGAATTGTATGTAAAAATGAGAACATTAAAAATGTATTTTTCATATTTAATTGGACGATGTACGATTATACCTACCAGAAAATAATGTGCAATGTGTTTTGTGCAGGGCATTTATAAAACTGTTCAGCTGTACTAGGGCTTTATTTTCCCCTGCGGAGAAAAACAGCAGCTACAGTTCTGACGAGGTTTTTGTGATTTTCCCTCTAAGATAGGGCTTACTCTGCTGCAACAGCTACTGCAAATAACACTACAAAGTGCCTCTACTCGTTGCAGTAAAAGGAAAATGCAGTTTATGATTTACATACAAACCACATGAAGCCTACCAGGTAAAAAATCCGTACTTTAGGAATAGTGCCAGCATATCTGATATTCAGTCTAACAAAAGTGATGGAACTGTAGGTATACCTGGTAATTTCTTTATGTCACTGAGTCCAAGATGATGATTACAGATAGAATAATAATCACAAATTATGAAATGGAACCGGATTGCTCACATAGGAAACTAGCAAGGCTGGAAGGAATTACTGAAAGTAGGATTTGAAAACAATCTGATAGCTAATAAGGACTATTTGGGATAAAAAAAGACATTTTCTAGGTCTGCCAGGTAGGCAAATGGTAGATGACTCTTAGCCAGAAAATGACAGGATGGAAACGACAGCCAAATATTTGTAGGTATACACTGTGACAACAGAGAAAAATCATAGAAACATATTAGAGGGTTACAATAAGGCATTAAATAAAGGCAAGTGCTTTGCCCAAAACTTAAACTCGCAAAGCCTGTCACATCAAAGGCAGAAGCATGAAAACAAAAATAGGGGGATTGGGTGCCAGCCAGCAGATTATTCTTTGGAAAAATAATTATGCCTGAAATGTGGTGGGATGTCAGAAGGTGCTGGGAAATACGCAGTTCAGGCTCTGGTGCTGGAAGGGGCTTACGACACTGAAAAGTTTGCAGTGACTCACGTGTGTCAGTGTTTTGGAGTGGAGGGGGAAAAGGGAGACACAGAACAAAATGTGTCAAGATAGTACCTCAAATTAGAAGAATAAAAGAATTTTGTATTATTTTATTTCTGGTCCCTTAACTAGGAAAAAGTTAGCATTTAGGAAGGTTAAAGAGGAAAATACAAACCCCCAAAACCTAGTAGGATCATTTTTTACATAAACCAAAAAACCCTTTTACTTTTAAAGAAAGAATCATTGACCTTAAATAAAAAGAAAAGAAAACCTGAAATTCTCAGATTAAAAATGGAAAAGGCTTATAAATAGTAATGGAATAAGGTATTACCTTAGATAAATGGAAGACAGGGACAAGGAAATGCTGGTATGACTAAATTGGAAATTTCAGAAGTTATTCAGGCCAAATAGGAAACCTTCAGTGAATGGAAATCAAAACTTCATAAAGTTGAAAGGATAGTATGTAATAGTTAAGATGGAGTTTGAAGAAGCTAAAAGGGAATTCGAAGAGCAAATAGTAGAAGTTAAAACTGAAAATACACATTTGCTCAGTACACCAAAAGCAGAAAACCGGAGATAACCAGTAGGCCACCCCAAGCAATAAGTAGAAGAAACAAAGACAATAAGGACATTGCCAAGAATCTAAATTATTTATTTGCATCAGCCTTCACCAGAGAGGGTGCTGGAGTGATACCTAAATGAGAGACTCACACTTTCCAGATATCAAAGATAAGGAGAGGTCATAGACTGAAGATTCAAGAGAGAACTTGGTGGAACAAATCAATAAATCAAAGGCATTAAGTCACGAGGTTTAGCTGATATTTCTTGAAGGCTTCAGGAGAAAAATGAGAATTAAGTAACAGAGTTGCTAGCAAATACCCACTACAGCAGAGGACTGGAAGACAGTGTTATAACTGAGTTGAGGATTTTTGCTGTTTTTGTTGGTGGTTTTTTTCACGGTGTTGGAGAATCCCTGGCAATTACAGACAGATACATAATCCTAATGTGCTACCACTTAAATTGGCTGAAATTTGTTAAAAAAACCACCAAGCTCCACACCTCCCAAATTATGAAGCACATAGACAAACATGACATGACGGATAAAAGCCAGTACAGTCTATAAGGGTAAAAAAAAAAGTGTGTGGGGGGTGCTCTTTGAACCTACTGCCAATCTTTGAGCTGGTTACGCCAGCTAGCACACCTCAGCCTACCCAGGAGGTCCCATGACTCGCTGTAAAGACAGGCAAGTAGCAAATGATTACCTCCCTGCTCTCACATCTGCATCTCGTGACCACTGAAGAGAGAATAATGTTCATGTTGATAATGGTACATACAAACAATGTACAGGTCCGTGCTACAGGTTATGCTGCTGCAGGGCAATCCAGTCCATTCTTGAGCAACACTGTTAAGCCGAGGAGAAATGTACATCTGGAAATGAAAATTTGTAATATATATGAAACATAACGGTGGTCACACTGAAGCTCTGACTGGAGATTTTATGTAGGTACTACCAGTGTTAGCCACTCTTAGGATCAGCTTCTGGTATCTTTCTGTACATTACCTAATCAACAGGACTCTCTGCTGCAGGGTTCTTCTCATTTTCAAAATGCACAGTGACCTGGGCCCTTAATGATGAGTAATATGGGGCTTGGGGAGTTAAGATTTTGGGTCTTTTAAAATGTATCTTAACCAGTACTGAGCATTCATTTCACTTCTTCCCACCTCTTATCAGCTTTTTATGTAAATCTTTACATAAAGCCATTAAGAACAGAAGAAAAGCACTCTGGAAAATTATACAGTGATGTATTCTTATGCAGCCAACATTCCCAGGGGAAAAAGTGAAAATTACACATAGCCTCCCGCCCCTTTTTATTTCTTGTCAGAGATGTTGCCTTTTTTGGCTTTTCTTATATATACACAGCATGGTGAACTGATATTTGTAGTTTAAATGTCTGGTTCAACCGCGTGGTTTCCACTGTAACAGAAAGCTCTCACAAAATGTCAGATTAGAAATAAAACCAAGCTCTAGAGGAATGAGGTGGGGAGGAAAGTAGAAGGTCCAGTGGCTGAAAAACAAAATGGAAAAAAGTGAGCAGAACGCAATGTGGATCCATTTCCCAACTCAAGCAGTGGTATTAGTACGTGTGGTTGTATGGGGATCTGGGGCAGGGAGACAGACACATTTCTCACTGAGTTGTTTCAGCTCTCTCTATTAACATTCCAACAGAAAGTACAAATAGCCCTGCAAGGGGTAGTGCATTAAACCTCATTTCTTCATCCCATGTAAACACAACATTAATACTGAAGAATAAAGAAAATTGTAAAAAGTCCAGTGTCTTGTTTTCTGCATTTTGCTTGTTAGGTTTACTGTCTGCCCTCCAGCATGCTCCTGTGTGTACCGAGGTTGTGAACTTGACCAGCCCACGTTCAAGCAAACACTCACACTCAGATTCCCAACACATTCTTTTCTCTCCCTCAAATGGGGAGTTTATTCCTAACAGTTCTGCTCCTTTTAATTATAAACTCCTTTAACGAAGTAGTTCTGAGACCTTGTAGCAGGCAGCAGGAGAGCACCAAGGCTACTAGTTGCCATATTCATATTCTCCGTTCAGCAAAGAAGTCCACTTAAAGCCCAAGGCCGAGCGCCTTCACGGATGGGCATGCACCAAAGTGAGCCTACAACTCAATATTCCCCCGCACAATGTGCCTTATAGGCAAAATTCAATTCTTGCCTAAAAAGGATAGAGTTACAGCCAGGCCCATTATTTTATGAGACACACACAAACAAGTTGCTCTGGTGAAAACAGACCTTACACTGACAAGTTTTGTTCACTTTCTGGCAGAGCTACTGGTCTTCTTTACTGGACCACCAGAACTGAAGATGGGAAAGAAACACAAGGGGACATTTCCTTGGCAAGGACAGGAGCAGCATTTAGGACTGGGAAAGAGGCAGGGTGGGGTATAGGGGGTTTTCCTTATAAAACAACTGATTTGAGAATAAAAGACCAACCGATATCATGTATACACCTAAACCAGTAACACACCTTCTCTGGAGTGCAGTATTGTATAAATGTCCCCTTCGTTTTCAAGGCTAATTCAGACCTTTGGCTCATCCTGCATTAACAAGGTCATCCATGTTAACAGGGCCCCTGTGAAAGTTCACAGGTGAAAGTTCCCTTTTGAGTAGTGCAGATTTGAAATTCACAGGACAGCGACCCGAAGATCTTCCTTTACAGATAAAAAGCATGTCAAATTATTAAATAGCAACATGAAATCCTATATTCTGAAGATCTGTCTTTGCTCCACAGTTAAGAGAGCAGAGTGCATTCGCAGTCCCTGTCCCGTCCCCACCTCCGGCAGCATGGCGGGCACGTGGCCGGCCCCTCTCGTTGACATCTCATGAATGCTAAAGCTGAAAGGTCTGGGGTAGTTGAGGAAGGGACAAATGAGCACAGTCCGAAGACATGTCACTTCAAATCTCTGCTGTTAGAACTGTCGGGTATGATATAAAAACAGAAAGTGTTTCTCAGTTTGAAGTTTGAAGACTGGGCCCCAAACGCTGAGTGGCTCCTCCCTCTGGTGTCCCTGTTTCCCGCCCATGGGCTCTGTTGTGCTAGCTGTTGTTCTCTGCCGTGAGATATTTGAGAGCTGCAAAGCCATAGTGGCGTGACATATCCTGCTGGAACTCCTCTTTCAGGGTCTTCAGACAGATGCGGTATTGCTTGTTGGAGCGAAACTTGGTGATGTCAAAGCTGGGGGCGTGCGGCATGTGGATCATGTAGGCGTTGGGCAGCACCGTGAACTCGTACTCCTGGGGGAGAAAGACACCAGCTGTGAGGGTGTTCCCGAGCCCTCCTGCAATGCATCTCTCCCATACCTCCTCAGTCAAACATGCTGCATCATGTGATGGTGCAGTGTGGGTCTCAGAAACAACAAACCCATATAGATATGCCAAATAAGCCTTCTTTTTTTGAAGTTGCTTTTTCTTGGTTTTATGAAAGATCGACTTTCCCTTTTAAAATGTTTTACTCCAAATAAGCCAAATGATGGGACAACAGTACAAAAGGCATGCCTGAAGCCATGTCTGTGGCACAGATTTTGTAGTAGTGTGCTTGCAACCAACACAGCTGTGTCTGCATCCTACAATTTATCTTGCTTGGGATGCTGGAATAAACTATATTTACAAAGGCATCTATTGCACTACATAAGTTGCTTTGCCTGTATACTAAGATACTTACAGTCACAAAACAGTCCAAAACTATTTATAAACCTGAAATGAGGGGAGAATATGGTATCTTTTATAGGCGATGTGTGAAAATGGACCTGCTGCTTCCATATGCTTTGAGAAGGTTTTATGCAAATTAAGTTCTCCTTCACAAAGTATGAAATACTGTGTTAATTCCCCTTCTCCTCTAAAACTACTTCACTAATTCTCTTTATTTATATCTGACCGAGTTCTATGACAATTTTTGTTGTAAAAAATGATGGTTCGTTTAAGTCCCAATTATTCCTGTTAGATTTGTTCCATTTTTATAATTAAATATATGATCATTACAGCAAATCTAAGCAATGACTGATGCTTAAACAAGCTGGAAGGTCACTAGTGTGGGATGTGCAAGAACTAGATATCTGCTCTTGCAAGGAACTGGGCAGAAAAGGGATGTGAACCACAGTATTCTGTAGTCAAGCAAAGCACTCTAACACCACCTGTTTTTTCATACAAAATATAAAAAAATATTACTTGAATGGGATGCAAATGACAAAGAAACTGAAGATTTCACAGGCAAATTTCCTACTGTCCTCATACACTTTCTATTTACAACTGTTGCTGTAGAAGACAGTGGGCAGGTACGGAATAGGACGCTGGCTTTAAAAGAAATAGTGCACAACTTCCCCTGATGTGCAAAGTCCAGTCACTTGTAGATTTAAGAGTCTGTGCAGAGACAGAGAGTATCTGCAGCACAGAGGCAGAGTATTCAGAAACATTTTGTTAGGG